ATACTGGTGGTTGGTTTTATATAATTAAATTAATATATTATATTCACGAAAAAAGTGTGAAAAGTTAAGTACATAGTTAAATAATATTCCAAGACATTATTATATTTAAAATAATTAAATTATTTATAATTAAACTATAGCTATTTATTGAACTTACATACCTTCATAGGTCTCATAGTGGCCAAATATAATATTTTTAATTTTGTTCATCGCCATTTCTCAAAGGCAAGTAAATTGAAACATACATTAACCGTATCGGTTTGAATACTTAGATACTAATCACCACCTCACCTTTTGGGTTAATTCGAGAATCGTATTAAGATTAATAGAATATCATTAAGCATTTTCGGTTTTTTTTATTAATAGGAATTGTATATTAGCTACATTTAAATAAATTTCTTTAACTCCTTTACGAGTAAGCAATTACACTTGGTCCTTAGTAACAGCCAAAAAATATATAAATTAATCTGAAGTATCAGTCATTTATAATAATATTGTTTATTCTTAATAATATTACCCTAGTAAAAATTAAGCAAAATATTCATGTTACCAAGTAGAAAAGAAGGCGTCCGTAATTATGTGTAAATAAAAAACTAAAATTGTATATTATGCTAGTTTCATAACGAATTTTTAATTCATAATTGCCATAAAATAAATACTAGACGTAGGTATTCCAAAATAATTGTTAAGTAAATTCTTAAAACAGGTACCTATAAAATTTTGGATAGAATCGACTTAATATTCCAAAATTCCACAATTTTAAAGAAATGCATGTGCAACAAATTTAGATTTATTGTACTATTTAATTTACGTTTATTTATTTAACGTTATCCTAGATAGATAATATTGTCGAAAAAAATTCCTATTGAACGATGAAAAATAATAACACTCATAGTATAATGTCATTAAGGTGCAAATATATTTTTGATAGTAGTGATAATTAGTGATTGTTAACTGATAATTAGTGCGAAATTAATAACAAAACATATTCATCCATGTTAAGTACTCTAAAGCACTATTAAGTATTCTAACGTGTTCCAAATATCGAAATGAAGGAATACACACGTTGATAAAACTGAAAAAAATGAAAATGTCGTTTTAGAAATCATTTTTAATTCTTAATATACTAAATGTAATGCTTACCGTGAGAATCATTAATCTATTCAGAACAACCATCTCATAGCATTTTAATTGTAAGGGTTCTCTTGTTTGCATTAAAAGCATAAAGAGTAATTGGCAGTTGCTTTTGTTCCAATTGTACCAATTAAACTGTTGAGCTTGAGTATAAATGGATTCACACTAAAACAAATGTTAAAGAATATATGTAACTTGGTAAAATGATAGGTAATGAAAGTTTATTTAGGTAATGGTTTGATATTGTTCTAATCCTGTCTTATTAACATTATTAATCTGCTTTTTTACTATAAAAAGAATTTAATTTTTATTTTATTGTATTGTATTGTACTTTATTGTTTTGTAATATATTCTAGTATATTAATGTCTATACCTCCAGTGTTGTTAAGTAGTTAACTACAAGTAGTTAAAAATGTAATTCAACTACTTTTAATGTATTTAAATAACCAACTACTTTTGTAAGTCCGGACTCTAAAATACATTTAAATACATTTTTGTAGTATTTAACTACATTATTTAAATACATTTTCAAATAATTTATTAGTTCTCTATTTGGTACCTGAATTGTTATTTACGATCAAAGTTTATATAAATTCCTTTGCCTTATTGGAAACGAACTTATTTTAAATTAGAGTTAAATTCATGGAATTTTGTCGCTATATATAATACTAGGAAAAATAACTTTATGAGATGGGTTTATTTGCAATACCGACCAGTAGCGTTACTATAGAGGATACCGGGCAACTCCCTTTTGGGGTACTTTAAATTATTTAAGGGTTACGATTTACGAGTTATTTAACGCTGAGCGAAGTTAAAGTGTGTTTTAGTTTGTACTGCTTTGGTAAAGTTTTTTTTTTTATACAAAAATGGAAAATAGTGCCGAGAACAATGTGCCAGCGATTTTTAAACACGATATTTTTAAAATCGTGGAAATAAACGGGGAAAAATTCAAAGCGAAGTGCCTAAAAAATATTAATTATTTAAATAGATACCTGAATTGTTGTTTCGATCTAATCTACAAAGCTTATACAAATCCCCTTGCCCTTATTGGAAACGAGCTTATTTTAAATTGGAGGTAAATGCCACAATTCGTGGAATTTTTTCCTTACAAATTTAGTTTAAATACTTTTAACTACAATTCCGATAGTTAAATACGTAGTTAAATGCTTTAGAATAAAATGTATTTAACTATGTATTTAATTACATTTTTTTACAAGTAATTGTAAATGTAGATAACATTATACAAAGTAGTTTTAACAACACTGTCTACCTCTAACTGAACTTGTTCTCCACCCTCTGCAGCAAACACAGTATAGATCAGTATAACGCAGACAAAACCTGCTTGGAATACTTTAGATTTAAAATCGACTTTCTGAAACAATTTTTAGTATTAACTATATCTAATTTTATTGCAATTGGTTTGTTATAAGAATTAAAATTAATAGATCTTTGCTTACCATTATTGTGACTAAATTTAATGCGGCACCCAATTCTCCTATCATAAAAATTGACAGAAACCTCCATTTAGCGCAGTGATTAACATATTCAGAAGCTCTAAAATGTTGTATCATTAATATGTGATAAAAAAAATTGACGGAAGAGAGAATTTCAAGACAATTTGTTGTTTTTGAGTAGAATAGGTACATACGTAATAATTTTCTTAAATTAAGTTGCCTTAAAACAGTAATAATTAGGAGTCATTTACAGTTAACACTATGAGTACTTCTAATGGTTCGATGAACTTGTCATGCAGTAGAACTTCTTTTTCATTAGAACTGTTTTAAGCAATTTATTTGTAATTAATATTATTTAAAAACAGTAGGTTCTTATTATTCGTATTTTTTCTCAGATTGCCTTGATTCAGTCAATATTGATTGAATGAATAGACGACTTAAATGAATTTCAAAAGTGTTTCCTTACTTCTTTATTGCGTTGAACTGGTTTATGTAATAAATAAGTTCATTTTTTACTTTTTGTTGATACATAATTGAATCCAGGCGCTCCATTATACTCATATTCAATTCGTCTTCGGTTTGTTGCAATTTTTTCATCTCATATACGACATATCTTAATAGATACTTAATGTGCCGGGAACAATATATCATGGCATACATTGGTGTCACAAGATAAATTAAAGAATGAATCGGCATTATGTATAAAAAAAGAATGTTGAGAAAATGAAACAAATATGAACGATTTAATGAAATTTTTTTTATGATAATTTTAGTGATAGCCTCTTCGTCTTCTTGAAAAAATCCATAGTACAAGTAATATGCAAGCGGTGTTAAAAGGAATTGGATTGTTAATAAAGCATATTTCCAGCTTTTGCTGCTTTCTAACATTTCGTTTTTTAATGATACATTTGCAGCTCTTTTGTTATGAGTTATCAATTTTATCACTGTCTGAAACATTTTATTAACCATACGAAATTTTCTCATCATATTACCGTACATTATTATCAACTGAAACAAAATAGAATTGTATGTTAGTTAAAAAAACGCGCTATAATTTAAATACTTAATATTCTCACCATTAGTATAAATGAAAACATCACTAGATTTTTTGCTAACAATTTTCTAGGATTTTTCGACAATAATAAGCCTGATAACATAAAAAATAAGGTAATGTTGTAAATCCAAAATATCACTCTTGTTATCGTTTTATGTCTGAGAGTTCTGGTTAACAATGTAGCCAAATTAGCCAACCAATAAAAGGGATCACCTATAATTATTATATTAAATTAAGTTTTATAATAATACTGGTGGTTGGTTTTATATTATTGAATTAATATATTATATTCACGAAATGTGTGTGAAAAGTTAAGTACATAGTTGAATAATATTCCAAGACATTATTATATTTAAAATACTTAAATTATTTATTATTAAAGTATAGCTATTTATTGAACTTACATACCTTCATAGGTCTCATAGTGGCCAAATATAATATTTTTAATTTTGTTCATCGCCATTTCTCAAAGGCAAGTAAATTGAAACATACATTAACCGTATCGGTTTGAATACTTAGATACTAATCACCACCTCACCTTTTGGGTTAATTCGAGAATCGTATTAAGATTAATAGAATATCATTAAGCATTTTCGGTTTTTTTTATTAATAGGAATTGTATATTAGCTACATTTAAATAAATTTCTTTAACTCCTTTACGAGTAAGCAATACCTTCATACCTTCATAGGTCTCATAGTGGCCAAATATAATATTTTTAATTTTGTTCATCGCCATTTCTCTAAGGCAAGTAAATTGAAACATACATTAACTGTATCTGTTTGAATACTTACCAACCACTACGTCACCTTTCGATTAATTCAGGAATATTAAGATTAATAGAATAACATTAATCATTTTTATTTTCTTTTATTAGTATTAATATGTCTATTAGCTATATTCAAAACATATTTCCCTAATTCCTTTAGGAGAAGCAATTACACTTTGTCCTTAGTACCTACAGCCAAAAAAAGTATAAAGTAAACTGAAGTATCTTTAATGTATTCTTTAAATATACTGGTATATTTTGTTCATTCTACAAACTAAAATTCTGCTTTACAAATTAATCGAAATATTCGTGTTACCAAGTGGAATAGATGACTCTTATAAAAATTTATCTATTAATTAAAATGTAACAATGTTCATCATACTTGTTTTGCAACGAATTATTATTTTATTATTGTCATAAAACTAATACTTTCCTTACTTCTTCGACTTACATATTTATACTAATATAATTTGTACAAACAATAAATTATAAAAGACTTTTTAGTTTTCACACATTTAAATCAAATCATGTACAATAAATTTTACACTTTATTTATTTACTTTACCTAAATATACATATACAGGGTGGAAACGCCAAATGAAATAAACTCATTATTTCGGTTACTGTACATATTTAAAGAAAATTCAGAAACACGTCAATTTTTAATTATAATTTGACATTCCTCAACGTCAAAATGTGAGTCGTATCTTCAACCCCCTTCGAAGGACAGTTACAACCCCTATTTTTTGTAAATGGGAAGTACCTATAGGCTTGTGATATATCGTTTGAAAGGCCTCTATCCAAAAATGTATATCTAACATGTATCTCTATCCAAATAATAATTAAAATTTGATTTTTATCGAGATTTTTTAAAAAAATATGTACAGTAACCGAAATAATCAATTTATTCCATTTGTCGTTTCCACCCTGTATGTATAACATTGTTGAAAAAATATTTTAGACCTATAAAAAATGATAACGATTTTAATTTCTCTAAAATGCCAGGACGTGTTGATAAAGAATTAAGAGACGAGAGACGAAACGAAACGCTCTATAAGTTTATTTATCTTGAATTTGACGGATCAGGATAATTAGGTATACCTAATTATTAAAACCAATTAATTCTTCAAAATAATCTTTAGCCTTTCAATATCGCTTGGATTTCGTCAAAAGTTTTTCCCTTCGTCTCCGGCAAAAAGAAATAAATTAAAATGGATCCAAGAAAGCAATTCAAACTGAACCACCATACGCACCAATGGTAGCCCAATGACTCGGATATGATAGGGTACAATGATGTTATTCCAAAAATAACTATATTACTAGCCGCGTGTACAACTGAACAAGAAACTGCTCTGAGTTCCGCTCGTGGCAATTCCGATATCAGAGGCATGGGAATTGGGCCTAAACCGAGTCCAAATAATGCGACTGTAAACAGAAGGCTTGTTAAAGGAAGCCATTGGAGATTTACTAAAAACGTTGAATTTATCTGTTGTAAATAGAAGTAAAGACCTATTAGGAATAAAGGTATACCAGTACTAGTGGACGATATGAGGAGCATTTTTCTTCGACCGAATCTCTCTACTATAAAAGAAGTGAATGTGAAAAATGATATTTTAAAAATTGCTATTCCAATTGCTACGGTGTCTCCTGATAAGCTGGTACCTGCTTGATCGAAAAACGGTGCTAAAAAGGTGAATATAACCGTAACGCCTGAAAAATATTTCACTAGCATAGGTAAAAAACTTAAAATTAGCGCCACTAAATTGTCTTTATTTTTGAACAAATCTGCAATTTTCCCTTTTTGTTCCTTTTTAAGGCTTTCCTTTAATTTATTCATATCTGTTTCGATTTCTTCCTCGGTTTTGTTACTTCTTAATTTCCTTAAAGCATTTTTGCATTCTTCTTCCTTTCCCTTTTTTAATAAATAAACAGGTGGTTCTGGCAATATCATGGCAAAAATAACAAAGATTAACACAGGTGAAATTATAATCAAACTGAAATCTTTCACACTGAAAAATGGACCAATAACGAAACCAAATAAATGACCTATTTGATTGAAAATTCCAGTGTAACAACCGAATTTCCCTCTGTTATGATCCTCACAAATCTCGACGAGATATATGGTTAAAACCACCAGGCACCCTGTGGTTCCAAAAATACACCTTGTTATAATCATCAAAATAACACTTCCACTACTAAATCCTAAAGCTATACCTGCCAATAGCATTACAACTCCTGAAATAAATAGGTGTCGTTTCCTACCGATTATATCTGAAACTTTGGGCATTACAAGCATCCCAATGGTATTTGTAAACAATGGTACTCCAGCTAACATCGACACTTCTATTGTTGTTATGGGTCTACCCAATGGATTTACGTCGGTGTCGTTTGAATAGAGTTTTCCCAAAACCGGGGATGTCCAAGCCATCGATGATCCAGAAACCACAGTTAGTAATTGGACTAAATATGACAAAAAAATTTTTTTGTAAAAAATATTTTGTAAACATCGATATCAAAAGTTAATATAACTTGCAATTACAATGTACATATATTACAAACTATAAAATGTACACACATTATTACACAGGTAAACCTAAGTTTAGTCGTTTATCTAGCTTTATCCGTAACATAATTGCGTTGATGTCAAAAATTAAATGCTGTGCTTACAACTGAATGTAGTCGTTAATACTATTATATAAATACTACTTTACCTGTTATAACAGAAAAATACAAAAATAATGTGTCAGGTTTGACACATTCTTTTTCCTCTTTTTTAGTATCACACGTATAACTTTTCGATTCCATTTTCTTTTTAATCGAACCAATGTCCAAGTTTTTCTTTGTCTAATTGTTCGCTTTGTAATTGTTTAAGTGAGCTCGGCAAAGTGTTAGTTTCTTAAATTTTATACAAAATCTAGCAGTTTTTATGGCTTTTGGGCATATTTAATATTTATCTTTCGGATTTGACATAATTACAACAAATCCTTGAAAATTTCAAGATAACACTTTTTAAAATACAATTAAGATATTTTAACTTATTAGTCAATGAACTAACTATTAGTCAAGAGCTTTTTTTAAAAGCGAATAAAATTGTCTTGTTTAAAAAAATTAATTTATTCCTCTAGTAACTATAAACATACTGGTACATACATACAGGTTGATTCATTTTAGTTTGCAATATACAATTATAGGTTACTCAGCTATGGGTGTGATTAAACCCAATTGCAAATTGAAATACACCATAGGGTATGTACGTATAATTACCGATATTGTTCTGAATCACAGATTGCAATATAAACCTATTTGACAAAACGTTGTGTTCAACAGTTTAGACTTCGAAAAATACTTCAAATTAAGATGTAACAAGGAAATAAAACTAAATAAATAGGAGGAAAGAATATTGGGTACAAAACTAAGATGAAAGTCCGTTGAACGGGTACTCAGGATGTTTCTCGACGCCTGAAAAAAACAAAAAATTAAATATACGTCCTTTTTCTCCTTGGTCTAGTTCATTCAGGAGCTCCATGTCTTCATTGGACAATTCGAAATCGAATAGCTGTATGTTCGCTCTAATCCTTTCGGGATTTTTGCTCTTCGGTATGACCAAAACGTCTTGTTGAACGAGATGTCTGAGGAGAATTTGCCCGGGGTTTTTCTGGTACTTTTCCGCCAATTTGTCAACTACCGGGTGGCCCAGGATATCGGGAAAATCTTGAACTCTACAAATTTCCATTGAAAAAATCGACGAAATAGAGAGAGGAAAGGTTTCGTAATGCTTACGCATAATTATATTTTTCAATAAAGTGTGACTTAGCTCCGGGGCTTCCCAGGGGAGCGTAGGCTGTCACGGCTATTTCCAGATCATTGCAGGCCTTCCTGAGCTCCTTTTGCTGTAAATAAGCGTGCAATTCCACCTGTAAAACGGCGGGTTTTATTTTAGAGGAACTGTGTATTCGCCTAATTTGATCTATGTTAAAATTGGACAGGCCTATTCCTTTCGTTAATCCGTTCTCTACTTGTTTTTCCATTGCCTGCAACATAAATGATATTACGTAATATATTTTTATTGTTTAGTAATAAGTTGTTAGAAGTCTTACATTTAAGCAAATTATGTAGTTTGATTATTATGGCTTGTCTATTTCATTAATTTTATCAACAGATTAAGGGGGTAAATTTTATATTAATCCACAATCGGGTCATAAGTGATTAACATAATGTTTTAGATGAATTTAATGGGATAAATTGAAAGAGTTATGTTTTAGTCGTACCTTCCAAGTCTCGGTAATATCGTTTATGTCCAAACTGGGCTTTCCGTCTCCGCTACAAAGGGGCCCGTTCAATTCATCGTTGCTGTGAAAGCTGAACGGCATGTGGATCAAATACAAATCTACGTAATTTAAATTCAAGCGCTGCAGGGATAATTTCAAATATTTTTCTACGTCATTGGCTCGATTGCCGAATACAGGTAACTAAACAAAAAAAATGTATGGAGGTGCAATTGAAACAAATAATTTATACTTACTTTAGTAGTTATAAAAATATCTTCTCGTTTTAATTTTTCATCTTTTATCCACCTATTTACGACATTACCGACTGCTTCTTCCGTATTATAATTGTAAGCTGTATCTAAAAATCCACATTTGCTGAGTAAATCGTCCTACAACTAGGTTTTACTAACCTATATGCCTGTAGCCGTTTTCTAACGCTAATTGAACAGCATCCTCGATTTCCTGCGGTTGAGTTTTCCACGTTCCCAGACCTACAATAGGCATTTCACTACCGTTTGATAACAAAACATACTTCATATTTCTAAGGCTTTTCAGGTCTCTCCGCTGAAATGAATGCGTGAAATTTGCGTACACGCGCAGCAATCGTTCGCTAAATTTAAACGTTGTTATCGAAGAGCTGAACTTACGACGGCTATTTTTAAATGGTCGGTTGTCAAATAAGACGTTTTTTGCGGTTTTTTCGCTACAGAAAACAACCTGCTCGATTCTGTCTGGATATTTCTTGTACAGGAAAATGTCGTGATGGGATTGCGGGGTAGTATAGGGTTAAGGTTTATATCGATCCAAAAACTCCTAGGTCAGGGACAGATGATTGCTTCGCGCCATTCTGCAATTGAAAAATTTAGGCAGCATTGCCCATATATTAATTATTATTGGAAGCATATTCATGGTTTATGATTGTGCAGATTAACTTAATTTATTATGCATAAACACTAATTACGGGTATAAATTGATCTTACATTTTTTATATTTCTAATTTTTATAATGACTTTTTTTGTTGTCTCATCCTGATATTTAAGATCTGTTTAAACTCATTTTAAGGTGCAAATATTGGAACATCATTTCAGTTATTTTTGGATAATTTTTATGTTGAAATAAAATATGAAATTAGTCATCCTAAATTAAAATAACCCCTCTTCATTTCCTTCCATATGATATACACGCCTTATCGGTTGTTACCAAAACTTGTTCAAACTTGCTGGCCAATGCCTATGCCTGTTCGCGAATCCAAACGCTGTGAGTCAGTGCTTTAAGTCGCGCTCCTTTCGTCTTGGTATCGAACGCATTTTTTCTCTCTTCAGTTCGTTCTTGGGCTCTCCTTTGGCTATTAGAGATCATTCCGTTCTTGGGTTCTATCGACAAGTTAGTGTCTGTTTTAGCAAGTGTTTAACAAGTGGTTGCACAAATAGATTTACTGGATATTACGTATATTCTAAGTTTAGGTGCGTATCTCTATAAGACTTTTATTTATACATAGATTATTCGCAGACTTTACATAAAATGTGAACCGGGAGTAATTGTTTTATTACACATTCTTGCACATATAGATAGATATACTTAGTATGGTTTAAAAATATAATAATTTGGGAAATGTGCTTAGTTTTAAATGAATGTGGCTTAAAACTGTTATTAATTTATTAATAATATGAGTTAATTTAACATGAAGTGAAATTATAAAAATCATCGAAGTAAAGTTTATAAAATTCATCGAAGTAAAGTATAAAAAATAGTCATCGAATTGGCTATTGAAAAGTAGGTACTAAAATATTTATTGTAATTACTTTAGAAATAACAGATATTTTCATTCAAATTGAAAAAAGACTAATGATACCTATACATATATTAGGTAAAATAGGTAAAATATTAAGTGACATAACAAAAATGGTAGGAACTAATGAAATAATCTAAAGGCTAATTAAAATTCTTAAAATTCTTATTGAAGTGGCGAAAAATAGACAAGATATTCTTCGAAGTAGCAAAGAAACCTTGAAAATTACTAAAATACTCTTAAAATAACTAAAAATAACAAAAATTCTCATTTAAAGGCCAAAATATTATGTAATAAAATACTAATTGACTTGAAAAAATATAGTAGAAACTCTAAAAAGAAATGAGTTAAAGGCTAATTAACATTGCTGAACTCAAAATGGCGAGAAATAGGCAAGATACTTTCGAAATGACCAAAAAAAGCCTTGAAGTTTGCTAAAATACTCATTGAAATAACTAAAAATAACTAAATTTCTCTAAAAGCCTAATTAAAATTGCTAAACTTTTCAAAATGGCCAATAGGCAAGTTCAGGTTGACAAAGATACTCATCAGTGGCCAAAAAGAAACTCTTAAAAATTGTTAAATTCCGACTCCTATAATTCCAGATTCAAATCGAATTGGCAGCTCTTCTACCGCCTCTCAACCTATTCCACACATTCTACTCGTTTGTGCACGTTTCTTCAAACTTGTCGGAACTTCTCGCAACTCGAATGTCGATATCGAACATGTCGAGTTGAACTCTCCGCGCCGATATCGCTCAGGCGTCAAGCGACAGGATTCATCACGTTGTACCTTCGAAATGGATCTCCCTCCGGATTTTTTCAAATTCGCCTCGCCTCCAAACGAAAGGAGTCGCTTGAAAATACTATTCTACGCGCGATGTCTTCCCGATCGAAAGGGAAAATGCTGGGAAAAGTGCGACGCGTCATCAGAGTGTGTCCCTTTGCTCTGGTAGTGGATAATAGGGAAATTGAATTGTCCCATTTGCGCACTACCATGGACGGGATTAATATTAAAATGAGAAAATTGTGAGTATTTTAAATTATGTATATGTTTTTCTTGCATGTTTGAAGTTTGGTATTAAGATTTTGCTTGTGTATAGGAAGATGAAATGGATCACCATATACATATATTTTTTATCACTACCAGCAAGTATTTTTGTGCTTCATTGTGATTAAACATTCCCTATACCTAAATTTAATGCACTCCTCGTTCTTCGAGATAATTTCAATTTAAAATTTTTCACCTATTAATAACCAAAGAAACATTACTTTTGCATTTAGGCTCACCCTGTAAGCAGTATGCCTAAAATTTACGAAAAATATTCATTTTGAAAAACCCTCCTCGAAAAAAATGGTTTTTCTTCTTTATTTTCCCTATACAGGGTGTTCCAAAAAGATTGTGACAAACTTAAGGAGGTTATAGGGGACATTGTGGTGAACAATTTTTGCACAGAAACCTCTAGTCAAAAATGAGCCGTTTTGGCTCCAGAGTCATTTTTGTTTAAAAAGTTGTTCTTAACTTCTTGAATGTCTTCTTGTCTTCAATATCTTATTATTATTAATTACAAATACGTAGAATGAATCATAATGAGGATTCAAAATGGCGACCCTATACTTCATATTATCTGTGCAAAAATTGTTCACCACAATGTCCCCTATACCCTCCTTGTGTTTGGCACAACCTTTTTGAAACACTGTATATTACGCTAAAGACACGAAACTTGGGGAATCTTATTTGTTGATGAAACTACACATTTTGAAATTTTTTCAACCCTGAAGTATGCTTAAAATGGGTTGAAATAGTCAACCCCTAAGACATTTTTTCTTACAACTTTTTTTTAATGGAAATTTTCTGTTAATTGGATACACCCTGTATAACCAATTTTAAAATATGCAGTATAAAAGCATCTTTAATTGTTTGTGAAGAAGTTTTTTTGATATCATCTACAGTAAGAGATATACATATTGAGCTTTTCCATACTGTGGAACTCTGTAGATAAATAATAATTTAAACCTGTTAATATTGTAATATTTTTGCAACTATACTCTGTTCGCTATCAGGAGATAGTAGTAAAATGTATGCAAAAGGCAGCATGAATGACTCAACGAAAAAATCATAAAAATCCAAAATTATACTATTTTGTAATAGAGTAATGATTAGTTTATTTTAGTATAGTGCCACTCTGTATACTGGATAAGCCATAGTAATATGCAACACTTTTCTAATCTAATAGTAATTTAGAAAAGCAGTTTACAAAAAATATTAAATTCTTTCTGAGATACCCCGTATATTCAACAAGCCTAACAATAGATTTCTGTAAAATAGTTCGCTATGTGAAGGATAGATGGCGATAGTGAATTTTTTACTTTCTGTTGCCCCCACGATTTGTCGAGGCGCCAGCGCCATTATCGCCCGAAGTACAGACGAAGTTGAAGCTGTTTCGCTTTGCATTGCAGTCAGTTTTAAGTTCATCGAAAAGTGAATGTTTGTGCATCGAAAGTATTCATTGCGTTCGATTATCGATTAACGAAAATAACGCGAAATATCGGCGGCCCGTTGGCGATTCCGTTGCCTCCAATCGACCACGTTGTGATGTGTTTGTTTTCAAAACTCCGCTGATAATGCCCTTAGATAAACAAGTTGCAGTATCGAGCATTTCACGAAGGAAAAATGTCATTTTGAGCTGGATTTTGTAGTCTACGGGGATTTTCAAACTGTCTACAACGGCTGAAGAAATGGTAAAAAGGTGAGTGCTGGTCGAGTTTTTGTTTCTGTTCTTCTCTGTGTGTTGTGTATATGCTCAGCTGATAACGACACGAATTAACCGAAAGTAAAACAACACTTTCTTGTGACGAATGTTTTTCCATTTAATTTTGTTAGATTAAATGAAATATAGGTTTATATTGTTAGTGTCTATAAAAATAATAATAGCAGGTCTTATCATTGTGCTAAATAGTTCTGTACGACCGTATGTAGAAGTATCGTGCTTACTCATAAACGTGATGAATATTTTATAATGTGAATATAATACGTGATTCAATATACAGTGTGTCATATTATTTTTGATATTTTTAATCGTTTTAATTCAATCGGGCGTACATTACCAAAATTCCCCCAAAAATCACCTATTTGTATAATAAAGCTGCATGGTGCATGACTGGTTGATTGACTGATTCATTCATTGACTCACACGAGTTTTTTTAAACTTAGTTTAATTAAAAGCCTTATTATTAACACTAATTTATTAGCATAAAATACCACAGCGTCCGAATGTTGATTGATTTTACTAACACCTATAATTGTCTTTGTATACTAATTATTGATTTTGCACTTACATTGCATATTAAATCAAATTCACCTCACGAAATTTATGGATTTTTGCTCGTGTTTAGATAGCAATTGCCTAGGAGGCATATTCACAAATTTAATAACATTTGTCTATCAACAGCGGTGCTAGTTCATTCTAAAAATCATTCTAAATTGAATAATTAACAACTAATTCATTCATTTTACCAAAAACTCGAAGCAATGTCGATAAACAAAACTTATTTACATATTCTTTCCTATTTTCTATTGTACCATAGGTACTACTTTGTAGTTGTTTTTGATTGGTTTTTGTCTCCTCAAATACAAACTCGTGTATCGTTTGACAATCGATAATTTCTATATTTCACTCTCACGTTGGTATAATCCATCTCGTCTTCTAAGCTCGGCAGTAATTTCAAACTACAATTGGGAGTACTCGGTCGACGGCTAAAAAATACCTTGCTTCGCCTGAGGCAGCATATTATGGAAAGTTGCTTTTACCGGTATACTTTGAGCTGCGAGGTACAAACGACCAAAGAGACACGAGATCGTAACAAAAAGTTCTTTCATTACATGAGAAAACTCATTTGGAACATTTTCCTTTTACAATTTCACTCTTTATAAATCGCAGATTAGCAGATAAGGTCAAGAATTGTACATTAAGACTATTTTTTTATCGTTACAAAAGAATTATTGTCATTACATATAAATTGTTTTATAATTTGCACTTGCAAATAATGGTGTTTGCTCTATTTTTCGCCGGAACATTTTTCGCATGCCGGTCGATACGAGCTTTTGGATAAATTGGGGTCATCATGTGAGTATTACTTATTCATTCAAAATGGAGAGCGGCACTTTGAGGGCAAAGGAAGCAGCCTTTGCAATAAAACAAAAATCGTTATGTATTGTCGTGCAAAGTGCCAACTGCTTAAGTTCCTTAATGCCAGCCAAATTGCGTTGTCCATTTTACTAGGAAATTTTGAATAATTCAGGTTAAGTGCTACTATAAATTTGGTACGATTAGGAGTAAATCTTTTCATAGAGATGAACTATAATTTTATTTCCCGACAGAATTTAGACTATTAAGTAAATCGTTAATGAATTAATCGTGCAAAAGGTTTAGTTTGTCGTTATTTCACTGCTTTATGCCGAGCCAAAAATTCTCTCCTGGGAACGATTCGATATATTTCAACTAAAAATGGTTGGGTCAATATTTTTATCGTTTTTCCAATTTCTAGAGGAAATTGATGGAAAACCTAAAATGCTTTAACCTGGGAAATGCAGGTAAGCAAATAGATGAAATCTACATTTTCTGGCATGAACACTATTTACACATCTACTTGAATCCGTGCCTAAATCAGCGCAGAAAACTGGAGCGTGATAAACCGAATTAAATGTTGCAAATAGCACAGGATAGTACAAGGGATGGGAAAAGTTTAAAAGTCTTAACAAATATATAAATTTTCATAAAACATTTAAAGGTAATTCATATGGAATAAATAATGAGAGTTTAATACAATTAAGCATCATTAAAAAAACTAATTGCTGGTAACAGATGCAAGATTTATAATTTAACAGCAAGATAAAATCTATGCTTATTTTAGTATAATATGGACAATACCTTATATTCCTTAGAGAATTCACTTTGGTTTTCTGATCAGTATACCTCTACTACCACTAATTTCACTGGAAAGTCCTTTTCCAATGGTTGCAAGGTCTTTTATCCAAATCGATAGTCATATTGGATTTGCTCCAAATTACCTAACATGTCGCTAATTTTGTTAGTTGTTAAAATCCCACGTCCATTGCCTTTCTGTGCATACGCGCTCTGCTGCTTTTGCAATTAAGCGTTGTACATTTTGATGTTATGTACTGTGCAAAAGAGCTATTCACGCCAAACCTGAAATAGTTTAACAGGCAGTACATGAAATCTCGACCTGTTTGAAGTTTCTGGTAGGCTTCTATTGGAAATTGCGTTACATACATAGATTTTCCGGTAATAACTCCACTGTTTAAAAGTTTGTTTGCGCAGGTATGGAAATCAAACATGAGACCTTTAAAATCTCATTATTCCGCCTTTGCATTGTTCGTATTAATTTGAAATTAATATGAGGAAAACGTTCGGGTCGGTTCGGTTGGCTTTAGTTCTAAGTTTAATTAGAAGTATTTTCGTTATTCTCATCACGGAAGAGCATGTTTATTTCTAAAAATAAATGGGAAGTCGAATACGCCGCCTTCGGGATGCGGATTATTCTTTTCGAGTAGGCACTTTGAGTAAGATTTTCTAAAGGTTACATTCTAGAAATGTACGTATAAAACTGATCATGGATTTGCTTTGCGGGTAACTTTTTATCGATATTTTCGAATCGTTTCTCGGGCAATTCTGTTGAATACTTACATATCTAGAAGGCGGCAAGGATTCTGATTTTTGTGAGAGATGAATGCAATTCTATCAGTATAGAAAACAGCACGTATATTCGCTTGATTTCACTATACATAGATAGTAACTGTAGTTTAATAATACATTTGATATACACGTTTTATGATTTATATGGTATACACAACACGTGTTGGCTATCGGAAATCTGTGGAAAAGGGATTAAAATGGATCGAATAACCGAATGGAAATTAGTAAATATTGTTCGAAAGTCCGAAAACTAAAATAAATTGAAAAGAGTTTTTATACAAGATTATTTCTGCATATTTACAATTCTCTATACAGTGTGTCCCTAAATGGACATGACTAACTATTCTTATAATTATAATAGTAATAATAATCAAGTAATAACTAACAATTATTCAATTATTTTACACAACACCCATTAAAATGAAAAAACATAATTAATTGAGATGTTTCATTACGTTATCAATGTTACCACAAACATCCTAATCTACTTACGTGTACCTACAAATGTGGTTTAAAAATATTTAGAATTTACTATTATCTATTTTAAAATATTGTTGGCAAACAGCGATCATAAATAATTTGGCCTTTATAAAAAACGAAGAAAAGCATTTCGGAAAGTTGGCCAGTTTAATAACATGAGAATAATTCGCAAGGTTAAAGAGAAAAAAGTGCATAGACAAATGAATGGTGAATGACAAGATAGTTTCACATGAAAATTAAAAGTTTATTAGGTTTCTATTATATTATCGTCATGAAATGGAAATTCCTTGAACTGCATCACATGTAATTGAACATTGAACATAAGTATGTATATAAACAATAAAATTGGATGTTCGGCAAATTCTGTGAATATAAATATTTACATTTTACCAATTATTATTTCAACGGGTCAATAAATTTAAATTTGGTAATAAACATATTCTAACAGTTTGTCCAGTAAAATTGTAATCTATGTAGAGCAATATTTCCTGTTTTTTAATTTATCTGGAATCTATTTGCTCGTTTTTTAAATTAATGCAAATAGAGTTTAAGTACATATGTACATTGCTTTCAATTAAAAAAAGCTGCTACTAGATTGTCCAATTTACTGTATTTTTTTGTGGTTTTGTTGATTTTATTTCACAATCAAAATTCATTATACTTAAAAAATATAGAGAATTCAAAATCATATTTTTTTATTTACTTAAGCTCATTTCAGTGTTATATAAATTAATTAAAGAATATTCCTATTCGCATAATTTCATAATAATTTATCTAGTAATTTTGTAAATAATCTTATAAAACATAGGTACGTACATATAATTTTTGTAAACTTGAATTTCATAACTTCTTCCTATTGATTAAACAAAACGCTTTATTTCAGCCTAATTACCTAGAACGAACAGAAAGTTTAGATTATATTTCACTCAAAGTTTATTTTAATGTTTATTTTCCAACAAATAAATGAAAATGCTTGTAACAATTTACAGTCACTAATAATTGTTTATAAAAAATTTACTTTATCGTTTGCAATAACAAAAGAATGTGTTTTCTGTGAAAATACCAAGCTAAATTAAATAAATATATCTTTGTTATTGTAAGATTAGAAATTTAATTTTCTATTTTAGTTACAATTGGTAGATTGGTAGTACAAACACTTTATTAACAATCGTTCAAATTATTTAGGGAAAATGTTTAAAT